CAGGAACACATATAATATCAATTGTAGTGGAATACGTCTGGGCCTAAATACCAGTGACCCCCTTTGATTACTGTGGTCTCATCCAAGCTCTACTCCACTGCACCTTTGGTTTCTTCAAATGTAACTTCTTGAAGTTACTGTAAGTAAGAAATGAGATCATTTACCCCTAACATTTTTGATAATGTCAGACAGGGGCATCAACAAAAAATATCTGTTGTTTGTGTCTTCCTTCCTGCTTTGGTTTTTGAAAGGCACAGAAATAAGGTAGTTTAGATTTCTATTGCTTTCCTAGCAATTAATAGTATGCCATATGAGTTGAGTTTTCTAGGGAAGTGACAATAGGAAAAAACTAGACTCCTTCAAGGATGACCGTTTCACATCATGACTTAACAGGGAAGTACCTCTTGAGCAATTCCCAAATATAGGCCGAATCTTGACCAAAAAATGATTCATACTCCTAAATCTTTCCACCCTAGAAAACAAGTCAAGAATTAATTTTCATCCGTTTATGTTCATAAGGGCTGAGCAATAAATTCTCTAAAGCTTGAGAATTCAAAGGCCATTAAATTTGCCACCTCTAAGCATAATTTCCTCCCAGGCTGAGAAGAACTAGGCGTATTCGTACCATAAGCATGTAGGGTAGAGGTCTTCATGCAGTAATCTGGACACAGCATAGGTTCTACCTCCACAAAGGAAAAACCTCTAAATCCCTACTTGGCTCTGGCTCATTAGAGCTCTCTGGCTTCTCTCAGTTCCCACAATTCCATAAAGGTAATATCAGCCTGTACTGTCTGTGACCTTATTTTGAAAAAAAAAACATCCATTGCTGACATTTCTCAGTGGCTTTCATTTCTGAAGTAACAGGGAAAAAATGGCTGAAAATAACACTGCCTTATTCTAATGTATGTATATCCTTGTTTTAAGTTGCCTTTACTACAGTGGTATGTTTGTGTTTAAACAGTCAACAATGCAAATATTAATGGATTAAAAATACTGTTTAATTAAGCAGCTTTTATCAGACTCCATGTCACCAGCCCTATTTAGCAACTGAACTAATGGCGAAAGCTGCTGCAGAATTAGTCAGCACATCTGCCTGTTAGATAGCAAAGAGCAGAGGACGCCTTTTGTCTCCTCATTGAACAAGAGACTGAAAGTGCATCTAATTTTAGCATCTCTAGAGCAGGATAAAAGATGTGAAACACAATAATCAGGAAAAATGTCATGCGCAGTCGAAGTCCACATTCGTCAGAGAAGACATTCTGTGAGGGTGGCAACAGAAGAGGTCTGCCCAGGAGCTAGAATTCATCATCATGAGTGAACACTTTAAATAGTTTACCATTAAAAGACAAACCAAAACAAGGCTTCAGGTCCTAGGGAAACAATACTGAACATTGAGTAGGTGGCAGGGATATTTTTTTCTAGAAGTGATTTCAGCTTTTGACGACATCATTCGTACAATTGAAGGGAAGGATGAGAGAAATGAAAGATTTCTTTCCAGGGTGACCTTTTACTTCCTTGAGAGTCTTTTATTTTGAGAGAGTACTACTAGGTGAATCCAGGTAGCAGGGAGGAGGAGGTGAGCGAGATGCAGATCTCTTTGAATCCAGCCTTCCTGGTATATTTACAAGGTTTCTACTATATTAGGAAGGCAAATTTCCCATTCTTACACAGAGCATAAAAATAATCTTGAGCTTTGAACAGGTGTGAGAATGTATTTTGAAATTTTAGTATTTCAAGAACCTGGATTGGTACAGAGTTCCCTCGATAAGTATTCATTGGTTATGGGGAACATAGCTCAGCGGTAGAGCCCTTGCCTAGCAATCAGCCCTGGATTTTACCTCCAGCGCGACAAAAAGAAAAAATGCTGAAGAAATAAACAAATGGTCTTATGGTGAAACCAAGGTAAAATGAGTATATGCATGACTCTTCCAATATTATCACAGTGATCTATGAAGACTTTCAAAATATATTTAAAAGCCTGAAATTGTCAAATGATAGAGGAAGGTTTTCACAGATCCAAACAGAGACAGCAGTAAGCCAGGAGCAGCTGGTGGTAGGGTTACAAATCCATGAGAATGTTCCTTGCAGTGAGAAATCAGGGCCCAGCATTACTTCTCACTATTCGACCTGCACACCAGGATTTGTCCAGAATTTCAGGCTTAAACTCTAGCTGTTGTGAGACCTCTACCTATTTTTGTGCCATATATATATATGTATACATGAACGCTAGCCTGCTAAATCTTGTGGGAGGAAGCAATGATCTAAGCTATTGGTAGATTGAAGGCCGGAACTGAGGCCATTGAAAATCTACTTTCATGAACATGGTCATGTACAGGAAAATCTCCATAGAAAATTGATTCTCAACAAAATGACAGTTTCCAAGCATGGTGGGCACCATGAAGAGCGACTTACAGGCCAGCATCTGAGGAAATGAACCAAACAGAATGATCTAAAGAGTACTTGACTTTCCTTAAATTTTAAAGTATGGTTTGAATACATCTTAACGTAAATCTTGTGTTTGCAAGATAGAAAATACTATCTATAATATTGCCTTAGTTGGGGTACTTCTATGAAGAAACACCATGACCAAAAGCATGTGGGGGAGGAAGGAGGAAACGGTTTATTTGGCTTACACTTCCACATCACTGTTCATCAGCGAAGGAAGTCAGGACAGGAGTGATCTGGGCCCTCCTCCATCAATCACTAATTAAGAAAATGCCCAGCAGCCTGACCTTATGGAAGCATTTCCTCAGTTGAGCTTCCCTTCTCTCAGATGACTCTAGCTTGTGTCAAGTTAACATAAAAACTGAACCAGGGCAAATATGTTGCCATTTAGGTAAGACTAAAGGGGAAGTACACAGATATGTATCTGCCAATATCTGCCCATAATGTTTTACAGATAAAACTAACCAGAAATTAAGGAAATTGCTTGCCTAAAGGGAGTATTTGCTAATGGGATTCAAGGGATAATTCTGTTTGTTTTTGTATATTTTGTTTTATAATTGCATTAATATTTACATATAAAACAAAATCGAATATAAAAATTTGATTCCTCATAAACACATTTATTTATTATATTACAGAAAAAATACAGGTATGCACCAAATTAAAAACTAACACAGTAACTTGTTGCACAGCACTTTCATTGTGGATATTCAGTGACATATATAGACTAAAAAGAAGCCAATCAGGTTGGGAAGTGGTGGTGCATGCCTTTAACCCCAACACTTCAGAAGCAGAGGCAGGTGGAACTCTGTGAGTTCAAGGCCAGCCTGGTCTACAGAGTGAGTTCCAGGACAGCCAGGACCACACAGAGAAACCTTGTCTTGAAAAACAGATAGATAGATAGATAGATAGATAGATAGATAGATAGATAGATAGATGATAAACAGGTAGATGGATAAGCTCCAAAAGTAGTTCTTTATTGAAGAGTACCATAGTAATAACTGAGCCAGACAAGGAGTGTATCTCTCTCCACCTACATTTTTGTTATTTACCACTTTGTTTTTAGTTGAGATATACTTCACCTTCTGTAGAAATGAATAGTTTATATAAGTTTGGTATAGTGACAAAGTGGTACAAACAGCACCATCATCTAATTCCAGGACATTTTCATTGCCCTAAAAGGAAGGCTGCGCCTATTCATTCTCCATATTCCATCTTCTCCCTAGATATTGGCAACCATTTATCTACTTCCTGTCTCTATGGGTTTCCTATTCTTGATATTTCATATAAATCAATTCAGCAACATACGTAATATCTTGGTTTTATTTTTAATACTTTGAGACAGAGCCTCACTATGTAGCCCATCCAAGGCTAGCCTCAAAGTCAAGATCCTTATGTTTCATTCTGCTGTATACTGAAACAAGCATGTACTACTATGAATGCCTAACTTTTATGGTTTTCTATGAATTTTGTTGTCTCAGCTCTTAGATTTGTTATATACTTGGTTCTTTTTCTTATTGTGGTTAATTTGTTTTCTTTTAATTTTTATGCATATGAGTTGTGGACAGAATTTTCTGTCCCACCTGGTCCTGTAGTTGTTGAGTCCTAAAGAAACACACAGAGGCTTATATTAATTATAAACTGTTTGGCCAATGGCTCAGGCTTCTTATTGGCTAGCTCTCTTTTAAGTAATAACCCATTTCTATTACTCTGGTGATCTCTATGTGATCTTGGCTTACTGGAGAATGCTCGGGCTTCCTACCTTCCTGGTAGCTACACGGTGCCTTGCTGACTCCACCTACTACCTTTCTCTATCTCTATTTGGATTTATCCCCTGGCTAAATCTTGTCTGTCCATTGGCAAAAACAGCTTTATTATCAACTAATAAGGGACACATATATTCACATCATACAGAAGGACATCTCCCATTGATAAATGGCGTGCCTGCATGTACGTCTATATACCACATGTAAGCCTGGTGGTGTTCATAGAAGCCAGAATGGGGGGTGGATTCCCTTGGAATGGAGCTACAGACAGTTATGAGGTGCCATGTGAGTGCTGGGAATTGAACCAAGATCCTTTGCAAGAACAGCTAGTGTTCTATGCTCTTAACTGCTGAGCCATCTCTCCAGTCTCTCTTGATCAGTTTTGAATGAATTTATATGCATGCTAAGAAGAAGGGGTCCAGTTTCATTTTTATGTATATACATATATACAATTATCCCACCACAACTATTAAATTGAATTATCATTCTCTCTCTGTCTCTGTCTCTGTTTTTGTTTGAGCCTAGCTTATTAGCAACGACAAATCCCAGGCTTTGACCCTAAAATCTCCAGTAACACAAAACATATATATCCTTATGGTAAAAGAAAATGTTTAATTTTAATTTTCTTGCAAAGAAATATATCAATAAACCAGGTATGATGCCATATGTATATTTTCTCAGCACTTGAGAAGTGAAGGCAGAATGGTTAGAAGTTTAAGGTTACTTTCATTTACTTAGTGAGTTAGAAGTCCACCTGAGCTATATAAGACCCTGTCTCAAAAAAAGGACATATTACCTGGCAGGGGAGATACCATGAATAGGAAGGTGGTTTTCCCAGGATAAGGTTTCCCATTGCACTGTGGGTGTGCTGATTATTGTGATTTCTCCCAATATGGAAAACGACTAAATCATTTATGATAGTGAGAGACTCTGTTCATGCTCTCCCTACTAAAAATGGTCTATGTCATATGATCAAATCCAGACTCATATGTATACAACGTGTTACATTAGGACAGACCTCTGTTACAGAAGGAGAAAATAAGGAGAACAATGTGAAATATTCAAATGTTAAAGAAGTTAATGACCTATATTTAAGTGCCTGCTTCTGGGTATGAGCTGTAGTATTTAGATTTGACTGGATAGATACAATAACGTGATGTAGCAAATTTTACTATAGAATGTAAATATTTGCAATAGATCGAAAATAGATTCTTGTTTGTTGCTATCTGAAAATGGAGTGAAAGTTTTCTATATATCAATTTATAATATACAGGGAAGGGCATACAGATTGCTGAATTTATTGTAGAATGCATGCCAGCAAAAATGTTTGAAGATACATGAGTTTATAAATTTCCCTGAACCACATAACAAACAGGAGGTCATAATCACACTTGAGCACATGTTTACAGTAGTTTTCTACTATCCCTGAAGGAAATGCAAATCTATGGATTTTAATTTTGTTTATAAATTCTATTTAGTTCAGGAATAAATTATGTTGTTGCTCAGTATTATTAGTAAGGCCTTGTTCTTGGTGCCAAGAGGAGAACACAGAGGAGTAAAATGTGTTACTTAATTTGTAGGAGCTGGAACTTTATAGGGAGATAAACTGTCTTTACAATCTTAACATAAAATCCATGTAATAAGGGCAAGAAGTCTTGATGACAACTTCTGTGGGAAAAGGACTTCTGTGGGAAAAGGGAGAGATTGTTTTGGACTGGGTCATCATGGAAGAGTTCAAGTAGGTTCTTTGTAAAATGGGCAGAATTTGGACTGGAGAAAAGAGAGTAATGAGAATTTATTTATTCACACACCTATCCATTCATTCATGAAGGAAACATTATCTAAAAACATGGTAGTACTTGTCATTAAATGGGCCTTTAATATACTATGTTTGGAAGAAATAAACTGCATAAAAACATTTATGAAACATTTAGGGAATTCTGAAACCTAGCTATTTGTTGACAGTAAGTATTTTTTTTAGTTAATTCATCTTAGATGTGATGATATTGTGCTTTTGTTAAAAAGAAAGTCTTTATCTTTTAGCAATGTGTAATGGGGTAATTTTTATGGGATGATACTATGCATTTCATTTTAAATAGTCCAGAGCGTGTGTTTTGGAAACAATGGGTGTAAGTTTAAATAAAATAAAATGAATCATATGTAGATAATTTTTATAGGAAATGTTTAAAGCCACATGGTGGTGGTCACACCTTTAATCCCAGCACTTGGGAGGTAGAGGCAGGCAGATCTCTGTGAGTTCAAGGCCAGCCTGGTATACACAGTTCCAGGACAGACAAGGCTACAAAGGGAAATCCTGTCTCAAAAGAAAAGAAAAGAAAATGTTTGATACATGGAAGTTTATTATACTATTTTCTCTATTTTGCCTCTAAGAAATATCTTTAAAGGAACTTCCAGGTTCCAAGAAACTAGAGGAAGTTATAAACAGGAAAGACGTGTTACATTGTCCATCATTTTGTAGTGGAAATAGACACATGAAATTACCTGGTATGTCACCATTATCTGCGGTGCTAATGGCATGATCCAAATGCCATGGGATCAGTAGATTCTGTCTGAGATGCTAAGGGGCAGTTTGGAAGAGGGAATGAGGCTTTACTATTTGAGAGAAAGGATTTACCAGACTTTGTAATTTATTGGATATGGAATCGAAAGTAATGGGAATTTTGATTTTGAATGATTGGAGTGACATGTCCACAATGGAGACAGAATATATAGGAGAAATAGGTTGTGAAGGGAATTGGCACAGAGTTCAACCCCAGAGCTCCAGAAGCTGAGCTATTCTGGAAATGTAGTAATGGTAAGGAACTCAAACAATTCTAGCCAGAATGCACTTCAGTGATAAAAATATAGTAAGGGAAATGCACAGACTACATTTCATAGTCCTTCTAGTCTCCAGGGTGATGCAGCATAGGCTCTGAATGCATAGCATGGTTGGCTGGAGAAGTAGATGCACTCACAGAGTGAGAGATCTCCATCATTGCCATGGGGCTTGAAGAACCTGAAATGGATCAAGTGTTTTAAGTCTTAAGCGCTCTTGTGGAAGAGGATCGTGATGCTCAAGAATGACACTTTCAGAAAATAAATCACTAACCTGAAATAAATAACCAACTGGGATTGGTAAAAAGTGATCAACACTCTTCATTTGTTGTTTTGGAATTACAGTTTATTGGATTGTGAGCTCTGTAGCCTCTGTGTTTTATTTTTAAATCCCAACTTCAAAGTTAATTAGCCTCACTCTTCTCTGTAAGGTAGGAATCATAGTATCAAATATGAGAATAAGTCAGATGGTGAATATAAACTACTGATATCTCAGATAACTTCTCCTCCTCCTTCCCTCCTTCCCCCGCCTTCCCTCCCCTCCTCCCTCATTCCCGCCCTCCCTTTCTCTCACAGTGAAGGTCTCATGGTAGGCAGGTACTCTACCACTGAGCTATTTTCTTAGCCCTCTCTCTATCAGTACTTTTTCAAGAGAAGGTGAAGGACTTGATAGTTTTGTGTGTTAAATGCTCCATATTTCCTTCCAACAGGCTTTAAGTTCTACTGAAATTGAATGCCCATTGTAGATAGCAGTTTCTGTCCCATCCGGTCCTGCAGCCATTCAGTCCCAAATAAACACACAGAGGCTTATATTAATTATAAACTGTTCGGCCTATTGCTCAGGCTTATTACTAACAAACTCTTACAACTTAAATTAACCCATCATTCTTATCTATGTTTAGTCACGTGGCTTGGTACCTTTTCTCAGTAAAGCATTCTCATCTTGCTTCCTCTGCATCTGGCCGGTGACTCCCTTTCCTCTTCCCAGAATTCTCCTAGTCTGATAGTGCTGCTTATACTTCCTCACTGGCCGCTGGTCAATCAGCATTTTATTTATTTATTTATTTATTTATTTTGGTTTTTACGAGACATGGTTTCTCTGTATTGTTTTGGAGGCTCTCCGTCCAGCCTGGCCTCGAACTCACAGAGATCCACCTGCCTCTGCCACCCGAGTGCTGGGATTGAAGGCGTGCGCCACCACCGCCCGGCCAATCAGCATTTTATTAAACCAATATGAGTGACAAAGCTTTACAGTGAACAAGAACACTATCCCACATCAACTCCTTTCCTTATTTCTATTACATTAATCAAAACCAAAACAAATAAAAGCCAAGCTTACTCAGTTCTGGGATTTATGCTATCTGAAGCTAGCCTATGATATTTTTTTATCTTCACATTTGAACATTACAAAAATGTTCTAACACAAACACTCCACTTGAAGAACTCTTTTCCTTCTATCTTGGTCATTCAGCAACACTACCACAGTTCTTTAAGTGAAACAATGTGTTTCTGTGATCTCCAGAAGTTGAATTCCAATGTAAGAAGATGAAGTGTTAAGAAGGCGGCAGGGTTGGCTTTGGGTGCAGATTTAGCTGGGGTGATGTGAGAGATGGGGCCAGATGCCTTAGACCTACAGGGAGATAGATGAATGTCTACAAAATGAGGAGAGTAAGAAAGAAAGAAGCAGGAAGGAAGGTGTGGGCAGAGATCTGGTGAGGATTGAAGGAGGACAGGAAAGAAGGAAGGGTGAAGAAATAAAAGGGAAGAAAGGGACAATTAATACCAATTGAGCAATGGGAGGTTCCCTAAGAAAGGATCTATTGAATCTCTGTGAGTTGGAGGTCAGCCTGGTCTACAAAGTGAGTTCCAGGATAGGCAGAGCTGTTACACAGAGAAACAGAGAAACCCTGTCTTGAAAAGTAAGGAAGGAAGGAAAGGGAAGGGAAGGGAAGGAAAGGAAAGAAAAGGAAAGGAAAGGAAAGGAAGACTAACTTCTGTCAGAAGATTTATTCTAAAGACAGACACTTGTGCCCCTCCCTTTGGCTAGCAGAATAGTGAAATTGTCACAATCTTCCTAGGAATCTCATGCTGGGTGAAGGGAAAGGTTGAAGGAGGAACCTGTTTTCCAAGAAGAGAATTCACACTGTTTTGACAACTTATGGTCAGACTGCCTTGCAGGATACATTGGAGCCTAGTGATGTGTCAATGATAGTCAGATCACACACAACCAGCACTGCTTAGCTACACACACCTCTTGCTCTCTATTCCATCCCAATCCTCATGTTAGACGGACTTGAGGGTCACTAGACCTCTTTATTTGTTCCTTTTCTCAATGTGGCTACATAGAGTAAATCTCCTTCCTTTGTCTGCTTTTCACTCTTTCTTGTGTCTTTAATTGGCATAAGCAGAGACAGGTGGTAGAGCCAATCTTGTTAGGACTGCCAGAGCCTAGGCTTTGATCCTAAAATCTCCAGTAACAGGCTCTCTGTCCAGAGCTTTCCATTGGGAATGCTCTTGACCATTTCATTCCGGCTGAGCCTGTGATGGTATGCCGGGAGCTGCTTGAAGTGGAGCTAATTGTTCAGTGCTTTCCCATGATGGCCTGGGGCAGATCTTTTCCTAAGCAATGTGTAGCAAGACTTACTTTGCTAATCCAGAAATACCAAACCCCAGTGATTCTAAGGGCTCAGAATGAGAAAAGAAAACTCGGCTCTGGGTAGCAAGGGGGGGAAAAAGACATTTTGAAAGTATCTATTGGCTCTCTGGTAAAAGAGGCCACCACCTGGTTTATGAAGCATGGGGAAAACAGCAATGTTTAGACTGTTTGCTTGGTTTAAACACACAGCTGCTCCACCTCTCAGCAACATTTGCTTCTGCATAAAGGACCAATTCTCTCCTTTAAATCCAGCCTTCATTTTGTAGCAAGACTTTGGACTCCTTCAACGAACCTTTCTCCTGCCACACCAGATATCCCCTACAGACGATTGCCACCTTCCACACTCACAGCCGAAAATTAAAAATTTCCTCGACCCTACTCATACCCTCTGGTCATTTTCCTTTCTGTTCCTCTTTACAAGGAAAGATTTCAAAGCTTTCTCTAGTTCACCTGCAA